TAAATTCTCCATTTTTTAAGATTGCAAGTGTGTGCGGACAAGAGAGGTAGAAATGGAGCAACTATATTACCTGTGAAGCAACTGTAGGGTCAATTGCTTCCTCAAACAGACCAGAAGCAACAAGTGCTGTTGCATGCTTTCTAATGCGATTTCTGAGGAAATTGAACTAGATCATCAAAAAGACAAAGTCAGTACTTTGCACAACAAGTTAAAACATCTGTGCTATGAGATCCATTTAGTACCCTGTCTTCAGTCTTGTCCTACATGAACCTGCAACCCAGTTCAGGCTGGGAGCCATGAATAACTAAGGAGCACCTTGAGCTGGGTTGTACCCTCTTTATGATGTCATCCTCTGAAATCTGATGATCATGCTCTTTTTTTACGTTTTCTACATTAGGCAGGTCATTGAGAGTGGATTGCACCACAAACTTACTCTTTCTTTGGCCAAAGGGCGTCACAGATTCTAAAGGCATTATAGAAGAGAAAGTCTCCCCATTAATTTTGTGTATCGAATCAAATGGTTCTGCACCAAGTGTATCGGATCTATCTGTTGGAGTGCCAAGACTTTCGGCGCTCACTACTGTCACTATCTCCTAAGATCTGATGACGACAAGAGAAGAAAAAGAAAAAGAAAAAGAACAATAATGATAGAGAGAGAGAGAGAGAGAGAGAGAGAGAGAGAAGATAGAGAGGAAAAGGAAAAAGAAAGGCTTAGTAGAAAATTGTTAGCCTTTGTATTGTAGATCAACATAACCATACGTTTACCATCTGCTCTTTGTTCTCTTTCTAGTGATAAATTTATCACTGATGGATTGACCCATCCAACATATTCACATCTACAATGACAAATCAGTGATAAATTCAGCAACAATACACAACATATTGAACAAATCAATGATAAATTTATTACTGGTAGATTAATCATAATACATATTCATCTCTCTCTAGTGACAAAAATAACAAATTTATCACTGACTGTTTGTTAAAAAATTGCAAAAAGAAATTCTCATCATCATCATTACAAATTAACACAAGATTCAAAGACATATTCAATAATAAATTTCGCAGTGATAAATGCATTTACTGATAAATTTCTCACTAGTTGTTTGTTAAAAGATTACAAAAAAAAAAAAAAAAAACCTCGTCATCATCGTCACAAATCAACACACGATTCAAAGAAATATATCAGTGATACTTTTATCATTAATACAACAGATTTAGTTTAAGAGAAATAAAAAGAGAGGGAGTGAGGAAGAGAAAGTTGATAAATATAACATGAACAAAAATCAGTGATAAATTTATCATTATATTAATATCAAAATTTCAGCAGCAGTAATCCATAACATATTAAACAAATCAGTGATAAATTTATCACTGAATTAAGTGATAAATTCATTAGATTAGTTCAGAATGTTTTACAAATGTAGATCTTGACCAACACATTGTAGAAAGAGTCCCGATCTCACTGACAACTATGTACAGTACTAGATTGGCATCGAAGATGGTAGATTGACATTGAAAAAACTAGATTTGAAGCCATTGGTGAAGTTTGACGTTGAAGATGGTCAATTGATGATTAAAGAAGAATGACGGTGATGGCAGATGAAGGATGAAGGATGGAGGAAGAGCGACGGTAATGGCAAAGAGGAAGGAAGATGACAATGTTAGGCAAGCAAGTCAAACGATTGAGAGATGGTGAAGTATAGATCGACGACGGTGGAGATGGTTGATGAACAATGGTAGTGGTAGTGGCTAGTGAAGGTGGTGGTAGTGACTCGTGGAGGTAGCGGTGGTTAGTGACGGATGACGATGGCAGTTGTGGATGGATGGCCATGGCCATAACTACAATGGTGGTATCTTCTAGAGAGAGAGAGAGAGAGAGAGAGAGAGAGATGAGAAAGAAAAAGAGTCTTGGAAAAATGATCAAGAGAGAAATTAATACAAATTGAAAAAATTAATGGGTAATAAATATTATAAACAATTAAAGATTTAGAGAGTGTTTGGGATGATTTAAATATGGATTTTTACTAGCTGGTAGCAAGGAAAAATCAAGATAAAAAAATATAACAGGATTTCTTAGCGTATGAAATAGAAACTTAAGACCTAATGAGTAATAGATTCAATTATTGGGATTAGCTGGTAAAAATCTCAAAATTATATGGTGGACTTGGAGCAAATTTACTTGGTGCCTCTACTTGATTGCTATTGGTTAAAGTAGTGAATCCCAATACTTTTTGTTTGAATTTTGGAAAACAATTTAACAAGTTTTAAGTGATAAATAGTATGTAATAGTACTCCAAGACTATCAAATAATCACTTAAAGGGTTTGTTTGGGAAGTGGGTTGATTTTTTGACTTTTTAACTTCTTGATTATTTTAGTTTGGGACTAAAAAACCTCATTTGAGATAGACTTTTTGGTTTTTTTAATTTTTGTGAAAGAGAATATAATGATTATGGATTAGATGTGATGTTTTGTCTTATTAGATTAAAAAACATATTTTATCTTTTAGTGACTAAAATAATCACCAACCCAACCCAAGTTGCCAAACGAAGGCATAATAGAGTTTTAAGTTCCTATCTCTTCCTCTTTGGAAAGATAATATAGATGTTTTCTCACATTATAATTTATTTTTTTTCATAAAATGACTCAAAATAATTAATGTTCGTCATAAATAATGATACGGCACTAATTAATTGTGAAAAAAAGAAATAAGGAAAAGAAGGGAGCGGGTCACTGCTGTGCCCCCTCCCTGCTGTGTTCTACTGTGCCGTGAAACGGCACAATTTCATCCCTTTCTTTTTTTTTTTTCACACAGTTTCATCTTCTTCTTTTTTTTTTATTTTAGAGTTTAGAATTTAGGATTTAGGTTTTAATTTTTAAAATTTATTTTTTTATTTTAGAGTTTAGGGATAATTTTTTTTTATTTTTTATTTTAGGGTTTAGGATTTAGGTTTAATCCTTAATTTTTTTTTATTTTACGATTTAGGGTTTAGGGTTTAATTCTTATTTTTTTTATTTTAACTGCTGTGGCCCCTCCCTGTTGTATTTTTTTTTTTTTGTCATGCTCTCACACAGTTTCATCTTCTTTTCTTTTTTTTTTAATTTTTTAAATTTTATTTTAGAGTTTAGAGTTTAGGATTTAGAGTTTAATTTCACTTTTTTTTTCCAACCCCAAACCCTGAAATAAAATAAAAAATTAAAAAAATTAAACCCTAAATCCTAAAATAAAAATAAATAAATTTTAAGAATTAAACCCTAAACCTTAAACCCTAAAATAAAATAAAAAACAAAATTTAAGAATTAAACCCTAAACCCTAAACCGTAAAATAAAAAAAAAATAAATTTTAAGAATTAAACCTAAACCCTAAACCCTAAAATAAAAAAATTAAATTTTAATAATTAAATCCTAAATCCTAAAATAAAAAAAAAAACAAATTTTAAGAATTAAATGCTAAACCTTAAACCCTAATATATAAAAATTATAAAAAAAATTTAAGAATTAAACCCTAAACCCTAAAATAATATATATATATATATATATCCCTAAACTCTAAAATAATTTTTTTTTAAAAAATTAAACCCTAAATTCTGAACTCTAAACTCTAAAATAAAAAGAAAAATTAAAAGAAAAGAAAAAGATGAAACTGTGTGAGAGCATGAAAAAAAAAAGAAAAAAAAAAGAAGGGGATGAAACTGTGCCGTTTCACGGCACAGCAGAACACAGCAGGGAGGGGGCACAGCAGTGACCCCGCTCCCGGAAAAGAAAAGAAAGACAACAGTGTTAAAAGCATTCAATTTATTAAAAAAATAAAATTGACGAAAGGCTAGTGGTTGTGTATGAAGGATGACAGCTTTGGAATATGCAGAGAGGATTTGATTGGTAGACCCACTATGTAGTAGAAATTATCTAATAAATCAGGAATATTTATGTGTCTAATGTCTATCCAATGATCTTTTATAATTTATTCATTATTATTTTTTATTTTTAAGGTCATATATTCATTTAATTTTTACTATTCATTAAGCACACAATTAATATAAATTTTTTAAAGGATACGATAATTTTTACAGAGATGTATTTTCATAAGAGCTTTGTAATACAAATCATATTCTTCAGCATATTCCCTATTTTTGGATTGGAAGGTGGATGGTAGAACAACTAAACTAACCACAAATTTAACCACCAATTAAATTAAAATAAAACACCCCTTCCTCAATAATGACCTAGATTACAACTGCCAAATTTGATTATGATTTCATGTTTTTATTTATAATTAGTTTAGAAAAAAACAAAAACAAAAACAAAAAAATTTGTTAGGCAAACTATTCCTGAAAATTAGTTTTAAGGAATTTATTTATTTATTTTATTTTTTTTTCTGTAAACACCTATTTTTTGAAAAAAGAATTCTAAACAAGTGTTAATGAGACACAAGGAATAAGAGGCTTATTGAAATCAAAACACTTTTTTTATTTAGCTGAATTCAAAATATTATTTTTTAAATTTTTTTTAACTATTTCCAAGACAATTTGCCACAAAGACATTCATTAGCATTTGCCTTTTCAAAAATAACAATTATTTTCGTGCAAAATAAAAATGATTGTCAAACTTTTCATTGCTTGTATTTCTTAAAACATGAAAAGCAAAAATAAAAGAAAACAAAAACACAACCAAAAACGACTTTTCTTTTCTTTTCCTTTTCCCTTCTTTTTTTGGTTGGTAAAGAGCGAAATCATTGCCACCTTGAAAAGACAATAATAATACATTAATTGAACATCATGTTAGTAACATCACCTTAATTGTGATGTGAAACAAGTACTACATGACAGCACTCCCTAAACAGTCTTCATGGTGCTAAGCTCCTCCATTAGAATTTGGTGTCCACTATGACAGGTCTCTAGTTTGCTTCCAAACAAACTGATATCATCTGCAACTGCAAGCTCTATAAGTTTAGGGTTTACTTTTTTTTTGAAGCACTCACTACACGCGGTAGTTTAAGGTCTATATGCTTATAACTGAAGCACTGGCTGAATCAGAGCTTCCCCCGTAGTTAAGCTCCATGAAGAAACCCGCTCCTTCGCCCCTAGCCAGTCTTCCCGGATTAACACAAATGCACTTCGCTTGCTCTTCTCCGTCATTTTTATCCCCAATTGACAACACCTGTCCGCATAGGAGATGAAGAGTTAAATTTCATTCATGCAATCCAATCTGCTCTAAGCTAGATAAGAAAGAAAACTGATTTGCAAACAGAATTTACGTACAAAAAAGTCCACTAGAATGGCGTGTCAATGGCAGTTTTGAAATAACAAGTCACTTTCATGAGTCTTTTGATTTGAAATGAATGAATATCATTTTTACACATCATTCTGCATAACTATTCTGTTTCGTATATCCATCATTACTTTGATATAACTAGAACTATCATTTACCTTCACGAAATGATCCAAGTCAGAGGATAGGATTAGGATATCTAGATTACAAGGGATCTGAAGAGCCTCTGGAGCGAGAGAAAAATCCACGCGAGTATCTTCCATTGGTGGGTATAGAGGATAGAAGCTGTTTTCAAAAAGTAACCGTCTTTTCAATTGTTTAAACTTCTTTAATATCAAATACAGAAATTTCCATTAAGAGAATAATAAAAACATGCCTGTGCTGGCTAAGTAGATGATTTGCAAGTCTATTCATGCACTGCTTGGATCCCCCAGATGGATTCCGTGAGATCTCCTCTCCGCTAAGTTGTTTGAGAATATCCACAGTGCAGCAACCTACCTTGATCTGAAGACCCAAAATGTGATTGAAAACTAATTAGAGACTTGTACAATGTGTTTTAACTCAAAATGCTTCAAACCATTGTTTTAGAATTTAAAATAATAAGATTAAACATATTCCCTTGGGAGAACCTTAACTAGATTCTTTCTAATTCCATGTTGCTCTTCCAAATTGCATTCATCTCAAGTTTAGGGCATTCTGCTAATTAGTTTGTTTTTACTCCAAAAGTACGGTTTCAAGCTTTTTTGTGGTGCATGAGATTGATATAATGCAAAAAAATTTCATCTCATCAATGCATTTTGAAGAATTTGGAGGAGCACACACAAACATGAAATTAATGTCTAGAAGTATGAACAATCATAATTTAAGAATAAAGGCAATTAGTGATTACCTCATTTGCACTGAAAATCCCCGGATTTGTAAGACTGGTTATCTGGTAAGACAATGTAATTTCTTTAAAATTGTGACTTGCGAGACTGCAAACTGAAAAATGATCTGGATCTAGCAACCAGTTCAAAGGTGGGCTTCCCCTAGTCTAGTAGAATCATGCATACCTGATGTTTGAGACGGCTTGCTGAATATCAAAAGCAGGCTGCAGAATCAAAGCCAAACAACATTAATCTAGAAATTAACACTTAATTATGATCTCAAATTTTTGTTAACTAACTGGGAAAATAGAGATACTATATAAATTAATTTAGCAATAAAATTACCTGAGGGAAAACAAAGTCATGATTTGCGTCCCGTATAGATGGCACGAGAATTACACGTGCAGCAGAACCCATATATTCCACATAATCTTGAAGCTGCAAACCATTGGGGGAAAAAAATTTTAAAAAAAAGAAAGATAAAATATTCTCAAACAGGCAAAATTATCTAGTGTAGATAGATAGATACCCTTCCAAGGATTTCAAGACGAAATATTTCATCAAAGGTCCTGTTTACTGCTCCTTTCTTAATCTCTGGATGTTCAGAATCAATAAATGGTCCCAGCTGCCAAACATAAAATATCCAACTTCTCAAGTCATTTATCAATGCAGATTACAATTTACAAGATTATTGATATGAAAAATGGTGCGTCTTACCAATAAAAGCAACTGAGGCTGCTTTCTTTGTGCATATGCTAGCAGCTCAGTTAGAGGTTCAAAGAACAAGTTGTCAGTTGTGGTAAAAGGACCTGCTGCAATAATCTGTTTAAGATTCCAAAGACATGGACAAATTCAATATTAGTACAAAGAGCTTAAAAAGATTACCAAACTTAACCTAATATTAGACATAGCATATTCCAACTAATGGCTTTGGATTTCAAGTAATAAATACAGCTATGAGACTATCTGCCCAAATCCCAATATGGGTTGCATGCTCAAAGTGGGAAGTTAAGGGTTTTTTTTCATGATATGAAATTTCAGAAGTTAACTTCATGTATAATACCATGTTTAGCCTCATGTGGGATGAGAATCAAAATTGTAAAGCTTACACAACTAATACAGGAGGCAACACAACATTCCTGATGAACACCTAGGGGGAAACTAAAGGACAAGACCAATAGTCTTTACCTGCTTTGCAGCAAGACAGGCTTCTTCTTCAAACGGCCTTCTTCTTCACAGCAGATCATGCCAACTGTAAATACACTTTTCTGAAATAATAGGTTCCATGAGAAGCATAGATATGTTGTTTGATTAGCATACAAACTCAAATCAAAACTAAATCATATTAAAAAAATGCCATAACAATTTGGGAAGTGCTCTAGTTGTACCTGAATTTCCATTTTTTATTTTCTTTCAAAGCTACCCTCATTTAAAGGCTCTCTCCCACTCCTCACACCAAACAGTGTAAATTCTCCATTTTTTAAGATTGCAAGTGTGTGCGGATTGGAGAGAGGTAGAAATGGAGCAACTATATTACCTGTGAAGCAACTATAGGGTCAATTGGTTCCTCAAACAGACCAGAAGCAACAAGTGCTGTTGCATGCTTTCTAATGCGATTTTTGAGGAAATTGAACTAGATCATCAAAAAGACAAAGTTAGTACTTTGCACAATAAGTTAAAACATCTATGCTATGAGATCAATTTAGTACCTTGTCTTCAACCATCGGTGATAACCTCCGGCAACCTCTGATGATCACTTCCGGCAGAAAACGTAAAGAAAGAGCATGATCATGAGATTTCAGAGGATGACATCATAAAGAGGGTACAACCCAGCTCAAGGTGCTCCTTAGTTATTCATGGCTCCCAGCCTGAACCGGGTTGCAGGTTCGTGTATGACAAGATTGAATTGGCATTTGGAAAGTTGATAGTACAGCAGTTGCTTTTGTTCATCTTATTCAATATTTGAAATTATACATTAGCGGTTGGGGGGGAAAGGTTAGCCCTCAAATTTTATATTCTCATGTCTTGTAATATTTATAGTCATTGAATTACATACGAATGTGAAGGTATGCATATTTGGAGACATAAATTAAGAACCGTGAATGCTTTTCAATAGACAAATTGAAAATTTTAAAGTTAAAAAGATGTTGGGTCTCATCAGTAGGTTTTGAAACATATTGAAAATTCAAATCATAAAGTTAGAAGATCATAGCCTGAGAAGTTAAGAGTGATCCTACGTGTATAGAAAGAAATACATAGAGAAAGATCAAGGTATGACGTAGATTCTACGTGTAGAAGGAACTAAATTCAACATAAAATTGAGATACATATTGATTTTTTTTTTTCGTGCACGTAGCATTGTTGGAAAAGTTAAGGTCAAGAGCGTTAAATTAAATTTTTTGTCATCCAATTAATTCATGAAAGTGACATCATTTTAAGTAACAAATATTGTGTTCAAGATTTTATAGTTTCGATTTGTGATGTAATTGTCATTGAGAGGTTGTCATTGTCATTTTTATTCATGGTGTTCTTTTAAGAGATATCCCATTGCTAAGAACTTGAAACTAATACCCTTAAACATATCCATATCATCCACACCCAACACCACAATTTACCCCTCAAAGCTTTCCTTCAATTCGCAAACTTTCTTCAATGTGTGGGGAAAGGACTTAATAGATTCAAGCTGACCCATATGAATCCCAGCAAGGAGGATCTTCATACTAACCATTCTACCATAGTGTTCTAACCCAACGTACCCCCTACTAGAATGATAATCCAAACCCAACATTCTACTATTTTCATTTAAACTCAATCAAAAAATTTACAGCAGGTTGTTCAAGTCTACAACGATTTGATACCCATTCCAAGACCAATAAGCAGACTGTTCATGAGATGCTAAACCTTGCTATTAAATATAACAAGGCAATGCAGGAAGAGGACGAGTTGCCACCAGAAAAACTTGGAATTTGAGAATGTGGGAAGACAGGAACATCTCGAAGAACATGTCTCCAACTTGATGGCTTCAAACATAATTCAGACTTTGGGCACCATGGTCGACGTAGTTGTCACTACAACAAGTTGGGTCTTGAATGACGAAATTTTTTTGTCTCTAAAGAGCTAATTTCGTCACTATAGATATTTGTGAGGAAATATTTTCGTCACCGGTTTTGTCATTGAATGTTTGTCACTAAAAACCAACGTGACGAAAAATAATTTCGTCACCAATGAAATTACTTCAGTGACGAAATTTTTTGTCACCAATGATTTGTTTTTCTAGTTAGGTTTGATTTGAATATTCTCCTAAGCTACATTCCGTTGAATGTTCTCTGTATATTCAATTGTGTATCAATACAATATGTACATCTAATATATATATATATATATATAGCAATTCTAGACCTAATCCTAAACAGTAATAGGAAACAAGAATAATGCTTCTAATATCAATAATGCTTGAGGCCGCGAATACCATTTTAATTTTTATTTATTTATTTATTTATTTATTTTTTGTGGATGTGTTAGTCTGGTCTTTTTTAAAAAAAAATAAAAAATAAAAAACTTTGCCTTTCTTTTCTTTTTGCAAAAATGGTTCTGTGAAGAAGTATACTGTAAAACTAGACATCACGCACTAACTGAACTTGTATAGTTTGATAGCGTGAGTGAGTTGGGTTGGATTGATTAGGTGATAAAAAATTTTAGCACTCAACTAGTCCAACCCAACTCACTCACCTTATTAAACCACATAAGCTGAGTTGTTTTGTTTGTCTTCTATTTGTTGGGTTGTATTTGTTTTTTTTTTTTAATGTAATTAAATTTTATTTGTTGGCCTGTATTGGTTTGGTTGTTTTTTTTTAAGGTGGTTATGTGTAGGGGTGTGCTAAATAATTAGACATCTCGCACCAACTCATCGCATAAAATTAGATGAAATTAACAAATTTTAACCAGCAGCCTAACTAATCAGTCAATTAGGTTGGACTAGTTGAGAGATGAAATTGACTAATCAGTTAGATTGTTGGTTTTCGTTTTCTTAATTTCATATAATTGTGTACGATGAATTGGTGCGAAATGTCGAATTTTTTGGCACAACACGTAACCACTCTTAAAAAAATTAAAAAAAAAACTACAAAAAAAAAGAAAAAGTAATTAACACAGCCACAATTTCCAAAAAAAATAAAAATAAAAGCAGGGGCAAGCCAAATTCAAGGCCTAGAATTCAAGGCCTCTAGCACTGCCGTTCTGATATATGCATCAGTATCATGTTGAACGTAAGTAAAAGTCATTGGAAATGTTACCTTTTCGTAATGCGCCCACCAGTCGTCAGATGTTTGTATTAAACCCGTCACTTCACTGTAACTTATGCCGATTGGCCCATGCCTGTTGTCCATCAATTTAGACCACGACGACCAATCCTTTTTAAGCAACGCGTACTTGTTTTGCAGTTGCTTGACGTCATGCACCTTATTTGTACACTCCTGGAAGCCCATGCAGACAGCTCTATATCCATGCATTGTCATTGTATGGAAGCTCCCCTTGAAACCAGCGTCCAACTCTTTGATAACAAGTTCCAAGAAAATCTGAATCGTGTCGGAGTCCCAAGCTGCTTTATGCACGTTTGCGGACTGCTGCTGCGTCTGTTTACTACCGCGCTTGTGCAAAGTCTTGGAAGGCGTCGATTGCATTTGGGACTGCTCCATTTGCGTACTACAATGCAACAACAATTTTGGTATACGTGGAAGAATTGAAAAAATGGAAAAACAAGTTGGGGAAAATAAAAAACAGAAAAACCATTTTCGAGCAAAGTTAATTTAGACAGAAGGCCAAAAAATTAAACTACAAACGTTCTTCCGAAACTAACCTTAAATATTATATCATTTTTTTTACTAAAATGTAAAAACAACAATAAAAAATGATAACAAAAAAATACCCAGTTCAAGTACAATTACATACAGACAAACATGAGCTATGTATCAGAAATTTATGACCTAATACCGATTGCAATGAAATTAAGGAAGAACACTCAATTGCAGACGAAATGAACAAGTCGTCAGATCAAATATTAAAGAAAAAAACACAGACATTGCAAAATGGAAAGTACGAAAAACTTCGGAGACAATAAAGATCCCATGCTTCGAATTAGGGGAACCAGAAATGTAGGTCTTCAGGCCTCAAAAGTCATCTAGATGCCCTGGTCCACAGCTTGCGCCGAGGAGGGTCGGACCATTCTCGCAGCACTGACCACTTAAGACACCACTAAGCTAGTATTCCGATCCATACCCACCTTGAAGCCCGTCAAAACACCCTTTCGAACTGCATTAGATAACAGCCGCTCCAAAGCCTCCATAATCAAAATAAACAATAATGGAGACAATAGGTCTCCCTGCCGCAAACCCCTATGAGTCGAGAAAAATCCTGTTGGCGTTCCGTTCACTAGGACAAACATCTTAATCGTCGATATACAAAACTGAATCCACTGTCTCCACCGTTCCCCAAACCCCATTCTCTCTAACATATACATCAAAAACCGCCAGTTCACATTATCATACGCCTTCTTAATATCTAAGTTACAAATAAGACCGTCTCCCCCCTGTCGAAATCGTGAGTCAACACACTCATTTGCTACCAATATAGCATCCAAAATTTGACGCCCACCCACAAAGGTATTCTGGGACTCAGACACTAGCCCCTCCAAGACACCTCGCAATCTATTAGCCAAAACTTTCGCCAGAAGCTTGTACACACTCCCCAATAGGCTGATGCGTCGAAAATCCCTTATATCCTCTTCCCCTCCTTTCTTAGGAATTAACGCTACAAAGTTGCATCAAGACTCCTTTCAAACTATCCTGACTGATAAAACTACGCAAACAAGGCTAACACATCTGTCTTGACCACTTCCCAACATCGCTGGAAGAAAAGAATAGTAAAACCATCGGGGCCCGGCGCCTTGTCCCCAGACATTTTCTGAAGAGCCCCAAAAACCTCCTCTTCGAAAAATGGCGGTTCCAACATCTGCCTATTCGCCTCTAAAATAGCATCAATATAGCGATCCCGGTTATCCCTTTACTGTTTTGTTGTATTCCGGACTCGGTTCCGTGAAGTTGGTTGTGGTATCTATCTTGTTGTCGTCCTTCAATTCCACTTGATTGAGTTTTAGGATGTTTTGAACGAGGTTGTTACAGGTAGATTAAGCCTTGGTCTTTATCCTTGTTGCCCAGGTTTTTCGTGTTACGCTCGAGCGGGTCATTCTGCGCTCGAGCGGAGTTTGGTTTCTAGTCTAGCGCTCGAGCGGGTATTGCACACCTCCAGTATTTCGGGTTCCTGCAAAACTTCTGCAGACGTGATTTCTGCGCTCGAGCGGGTTTGTTTACGCTCGAGCGGTGGCGCTCGAGCGGGTCGTTTGGTCTGGGTGTAAGTTCTGGGAGGTGGAAATTTGCGCTCGAGCGGACTGGTTTTCGCGCTCGAGCGGAAGTGCTTTATTCTTGTGTCTTGGAGCTCGAAGCTCCCCTTGAAACCAGCGTCCAACTCTTTGATAACAAGTTCCAAGAAAATCTGAATCGTGTCGGAGTCCCAAGCTGCTTTATGCACGTTTGCGGACTGCTGCTGCGTCTGTTTACTACCGCGCTTGTGCAAAGTCTTGGAAGGCGTCGATTGCATTTGGGACTGCTCCATTTGCGTACTACAATGCAACAACAATTTTGGTATACGTGGAAGAATTGAAAAAATGGAAAAACAAGTTGGGGAAAATAAAAAACAGAAAAACCATTTTCGAGCAAAGTTAATTTAGACAGAAGGCCAAAAAATTAAACTACAAACGTTCTTCCGAAACTAACCTTAAATATTATATCATTTTTTTTACTAAAATGTAAAAACAACAATAAAAAATGATAACAAAAAAATACCCAGTTCAAGTACAGTTACATACAGACAAACATGAGCTATGTATCAGAAATTTATGACCTAATACCGATTGCAATGAAATTAAGGAAGAACACTCAATTGCAGACGAAATGAACAAGTCGTCAGATCA